GGCCTCTACTGTCCACTCTATTTTATTCCCTACAGGTGGGAGCAAGAAGAAAAGGGGCAGGAAAGAAAAATGAAGTTTACTAACCTCTTGGTTCTTAGAAAGCCCTGGACAGAACAGCATATAGGCTTTTCCTAAGAACAAAGTTAATGCCTACGTCAGTCTCACCTGATTCCCGAAGTTCACCTTTCCCAGGATGGCAAGTCAGTCAAGCTCTTTAGTTTCACAACTGTAAAGTACTGCTATGGCTTCTTACATACAGAAGGGTATTCTAAGAACAGTGACCATCTTTTAAAACACAATTCCATGTGTGCCATAACTGGCCAGTAGATCAGACAGCTGAAGTTTTGCCTTGTCTTTAGTAGCATTTATTTTCTGGGAGCTTAGAACACCTTGAAATCTAGACCAAATGACCTAAAAACAGTAGACCTGCTCTTAACCAATTCAAAATAACCTCAACGCCACCTCTCTACCCTTCATAAAATGTGCTCGAGCTTTTGGCATGATGAGCACTTACGGCTTGCTCAGCCCTTCACCCTCAAACTAAATTTTAGAGTTTAATGAATATAGAGTTATTGTGTAGGTTAAAATCAAACATTTTTTGTCCTTTAACTTTTTGATTATCAAGCCACCTGTCCCAATCATGAAAAAGAGATTTTGCATGTGCTCACATCAGAACCAAAGTAAGTGGGCAAAGTACTGGCTGGGGCAGGCAGGAGGAGCAGTGCTTGAAACTGCTCTCAACTTCTAGCAAGGAAGGTTGCCAGATACTAAAATATTGGTCTATTTATTTAGTTGGGACTGGGGTTTGATCTCAGGGCTTTGTGCTTGCAAAGCAGGCACTCTACCATTTGACCCACACCTCTAGTTCCTTTTGCTCTGATCATTTGAGAGAGGGTCTTGAGAACTATTTGACAGGACTGGCCTCCAACCATGATTCCCAAGTAGCTAGGATTACAGGCGTAAGCCACCGGCACTTGGCTTGGTCTTTATTAGAGCAAGAATCTAGTTTTCTCAGAAAGGCAATTTTTTTTTGGCGGTACTGGGGTATGAGCTTAAGGCCTCCCACTTGCTATGCAGATACTGTACCACTTGAGCTACACCCCCAGTCCAAGAGCAGTTCTTTTTAAAGGCAACTTTTCAATTTCTCTCTGTTGCCATTGATGGGAAAGCTGAAAGAACAGCCCTTTGGCCTCCACTCACCTGATCAAATGATATCCCATTGGCAAGGCGGCAGGTTATGCTGAAAATTAAAAACATACCCAAATCGACAAGATCACAGCCCTTCATCTTTGTGTAATTAACTCAGAACCCCTAAAGGGGGCTGGATTATCTGTTCTGCTGTTGGCTGGTTTGAAATGTTTCATTTTATACTGATGAAAATGTACACATCTCCATGTAAGTGATGTTTAAACATGAGTTTGTTTACATAAATTTGGAAGAAGTGAAATATACACCTTACAAATTGATTCTTTATGCCTTAAAAATGGATTTACAACAGTATTATGCAGTTTTTGTTCAGGCAGCTTTTCGGTAACATTTCTATTGCAGGGTACACACGAATCGTCTCCAATAAAGTGGAGAAGCTTGGAAGAACCACATGCAGAGGACTGGGGCAGAGGGCCTCTGAAGTAGAATTTTCACTCTGGTGCTTCATTGAGAAGGAGCGCCTGACACTCAAATGGAGCTTGATAGAGGTCAATAATGGATCTTCGTTGCTTTTCTCAGCTCTGCTTCAGAACAGGCAATGGTTCATTGGATTCAACACTTCTGCAGCATTGTGGCACTATACAATTGAACCCGGGGCCTCATGCATGCTAGGCAAGTGCTCTACCATGACCCACATCCCCAGCCCAAGGAAAAACCATTTTAATATAGGCTGGCACATACCTAGCAAAGACTAGCATATGTCAGCCTGTTTCTGAATGACCAGCTCTGGCTTAATCTTGGCAGTAGATTATCCTTGCTGTCCAAGTCTATCTCATGTCACAAGTACAGAAAGCACCTACAGTTCACTCCAGGCAGAAACCCACTACAAAATGACCTCTAGAGTATACCTGGGTAGGTAGAAAGAGAAGCCAAGCTTTAGCTCCTTCCAGAGAAGCATCTATCATTTTCAACCTCATGCACCAATAGTCAAAAGACCACATTGTTTTTGTTGTTTTGGGGCGGTCAGGGTTTCACTATGTTAGCCGACCTTGAGAGCCTTCTTCCTCATGCTGGGATCGCAAGTGCAGCACGCCTGGCTCGTCAGTTTTTTTTTTTTGCAATAGTGGAGATTGAACTCAGGATCTTGAGCATACCAAATAGGCACTTTAACACTTGAGCTGTGATCCCAGTCCTTCTGAGACAGGCTAACTACCTTTTTGCCCAGGCTGCCCTTGAATTTGCCGTCTCCTGCCTCAGGTGTTGGGATCACAGGCATGCATCATCATGCCTGTCATCATGTAGTTTTACGGTGGGTATAATAGCAAACCAGGTGCATCTCAACCACTTCTGCCAAACTGGAAGATTCAAAGCCTCGAGACCTTTGTCTCATTTTCTTAAGCTCTGTGTTGGCAAAACGAAGCAGGGAAACATATCAGTACTAACCTCCACCACAAGTGGGCAATTTTGCTTTGGGTTAATCTTGAGATAAAAAAATGAGTGCCAACTCCCAGGATGCTGCAGTGAAGCTGGAAAGAAGCCAATGTCCTTAAGGCTGGCAGTGAATCAAGTGGTAGAGCTCTTGCTTAGCAAGCCTAGGTCTTGAGTTCAAACCCCAGCATCACCAAAAAAAAAAAAAAAAAAAGAAAAAAAAAAGCCAACATCATTTAGCTAGTCCAAATGTCCTTCTCCCAGCTAGAGGCTATGTATAAGCAAGCCCTTTATATAAGAAATCCCCCAGAGCTGGTGGAGTGGCTCAAGTAGTAGAGCACCTGTTAGCCTGCTAGCAAGCTGTGAGGCCCTGAGTTCAAAAACCCCGGTACTGCCAAAATGAAAAAAAAAAGAAATCCCCCAGAGTCTGATCTGAAAGGAAAAGCAACCAATGGTCACAGAGGTGAGAGGGAATTCCTTGCTCACCCCTTGGTGCTCAGTTCCCCAGTCTTTTTGTTTACCACTGACCCTCCTCCTCCTGGCTTAGGCTCTACCTCCCACAGACCTCACCAAGCTCAGGGAGCTGCAGGACCATCAAGATTTGGAAAACTTGAGTGTCAGTTTCTGTGTTTCATCTTCTTTCCCCACAGTTCAAAGTTTTCTGTAGAGTACATGCCAGCTTCACAATTAACAAAGTCATTTTTGGACAATAAATATTAGTCTGTCTGTAGTCACGTTGGCTATACAACAGAAGGTATAAATTGGAAGGCAAATGTATCTGGGTTCATTTCAGCATTTGATAGTGCACAAGATAGGATGAACACAGTAGAACTGGAAGAAAAAAACCCAAGCTTTGTCATTTACTAGTAGTGTAATTTTGGGCAACTAGCATTAACTTCAACATCAGCACATGCTAAAAAAGATGAGTGGTTACCACCTGGGGAGGAGATGGTTCAAATATATACCTGCTTCCCTTCCTCCCTCAGATAGACAAGCTACCTTGCCAAGGCTGCTACAATCAGCCTACACATGGAGAAAAGCTAGTGGGGCTTGGCAAAGGGAGCTTACATGAGGCAGGTGAAAGCTCCCTAAAGGCTAAGGCTTTATTTTAGTAGCAGTGTTCTTTTCATGTGTGGTGCTGGGGATGGAACCTGGGGCCTCATGTATGCTAGACAAGCACTCTACTACTGATCTGCACCCCCAGAAGACCCCCTATGAAGCTTATTTTCTCCATGGAAAGTGAAGGCAGCTGGGATTCTGTTCCACTGTTGGAGGGTGGGGCTAAGAGTCTGGATTATTAAAAGGCCAAACCACTCTTACCCCAAAGTGTGTACTGGACACTTCTTTCTTTTTGGCCCCCAAACTTCCATCAGTCAAGGAGACATCAGAATTACTGCAGGGAAACTGCAGATGAACAGGAGTCATTCTTAAAGAGATTTAATTATCTTGAGTTGCATAAGAAGGGATAGTTTCTGCTACATCACAAACTTCTTTTTGCTGTTGTTCTGTTTTGTTAAAAACCCACTAGTTCTACCCACGTTCAGGTTTATGGCTATAAAATGTGGGGAAACAAGTATCAGCAACAGAGTAAGAAAAAGGAAGTAAGAATCTTCTGTTCACCAGGATGTCTTCTCCACTGCAGAACAACATTCTTTCAAAAGGAAAGAAGGGAAAAAGGTATGCGCTGTTGACCATCAATAACAATAGATGGAGTTAAAAAGGATCAGAAAAGGATCCCAGGAAAGCAGAACCTGGGTGTTCCTGACTTTCTCCTCAATTCATATACTAAAACTGACCCCCTATGAACCTTCCTTGTATTCCTTCCAACAGTTTAACCCTGAACCAAGTTTCCCTGACAATTCAAATATAATAAAGGTACCATTTCCACAGGGAGGACCGATTTGAGGATTGGGGTGATTCACCATGTTTGAGAGACCTTATGTAAAGAGCATGGCTCTATAGGCAGGTCCTACCTAGTCTTCGAAGACTCAGGGATTATTAGTGAGGCCTGGAGGCACATGGCCCACTTCAAAGAGCGGGCTACAAAAGAAGAATTCTCTTGTGTTTGCAGGCTACCATCCACTGCTACTGCAGCCTGCATGGGCAGAGGCAAAGGAAAGTGACCCCTTCTGGTTCTGCAAGCCCACGAGGAAGAGGGGCAGAGGCAGCTGTAGTCTATGGCTCTAAATAACCAACATTTAGTGTTATATTAGGACCAAGGATTTATTCCACAATATAAACGCAACATTTGATACAAGCTACCAAAAAATAGGGGAGGAAGAAAGGGGCAGGGTGAAAGCCAAAATACAGCTGTGGCAATTACTTACAGCGCAGTCTCTTTTCTACATCACTAGTTCATCAGTGACACTAGAAACTAGACATTTGCGTTCTGTACATTAACCAAATGCTAAAGCACCAACACACTGTTTAGAAGTTTGTTTTGTTTTTGTTTTAATTCCAGCCACTGAAACCAACATAGAAGTTATTGCTCAGATAAATAAACCTAGTCTACCAGATAAAAGAAAATTGGATAAAGAAAGAAACAAAAACCCCCAAAGTGAACAACTTAAAACCCCCCGAGATGTGGTAACAGAGTAAACGAGAAAGATTCCTCCAATGAGGGTTTACTGGAATTTCTGGTGCCCCGTCTGGGCCCTGAAACTGAGCTGGACTCTTAAGCCGGTAAATCCCAGACAAGAGGTACAACGTCAATGCTGTACAGGAAAAGGTGCAAGCTCCAATGCCTTCCAAATTGGTGGGAAACCCCTGCAAAAAACAGTCAGCATTTCAAACCTCAACAACCACAAACAGCTCTTAAGGAAAAAAATACAAAAAGTGTCAAAAATTTTTTTAGTTGTTTTTTTCTTTTTTTCAAAGAGTTCTGGAAAAATGATCCCGTAAGGAATAGAAATAGCACCGTGTACAGGCTGGCTTGAATACCAGTCCTGTAGCTTTGCTGAGATTTGAGGAAATCTTCTGGTTGGAGTCCTGAATTACATTAAGTGGGGTATTTGTTTTGTTTTTACTTTCGGCTTGGTGCGTCCTTCCCAGTACAGCGCACACAGATGTAGTCTTCCTTCTCTGCCATCTCTGGAGAAACACCAACACAGACCTGATGAAACCACTGATTGCAGCTGCCATCACACTGGACCCAGTCCACCTGGTTACAAAGAGCAGGGAGATGGGGTATTCAGAGGAAAAAATGCCATTCAAAATTGGGCAGGCCAGCCTCAAGATATTCAGGCCGTTTGCCATTAACGGCCACTGTCCCACCACTGGGACTTCTGGCACAACAGCTAAGCCACATGAGTGTAGCTGGCCCACCAGCCAAAGCAACCGAGTCAAAGTCATTCTTCAAGTCGTGACTGCTTTGGGGTAAGACAGTGCTGCCCTGTGATAGTAAGCAAAAGGGTATTACATCAGCATCCCTCCCACCTTCTTAGCGCCGGGACGGTGAAAGCTGGAGAAACAAGAAAAGGAAAAAGGGAAGAACGAGAGTTTCTTCAAGGAAAGGGAGGAGACCCAGGAACGATGGTTAAGAGCAGAGGTATCAGTGGGGGGAAGACTGAGCAATCCATTCAGATCGGCTCAAAGCAGACAAGCAGAAGAGAAAGACCCAGCGAGATGAGGTCTAGCTTACAGGGTTTCTGAGTTAAGGGAAAGCACGTCCTCTATGGCCCAAACCTCACTGACCTCATCTCCTTCTGGCTGCAGGCAGCTCACAGCTGGACAGATGGCATCTTCATCCTCAGAGTCCTCCTGTTCAGAATAGGATGTGTCTGAGGGCAGGGAATGAGTTTCGGCAGATCGGACTAATTCATAGCTACGCTCTCTCTCTAATTTGAAATTGTTCAAGTCCTTGGGATGGCTCGGTTTGATTTTCTTCTTTTGAGGGGTCCGCATTTTTTTAACTCGATCCCACCGGTCACTGGAGAGGCCTTCTCTCTCCAGGCGTCTCTTCAGTTTTTTCTCAAGACTGCTGACTCCATCGCGTTTCCCTCGGCAGCAGTCATTCTGGACGGAAGATGAGAAAATTCAAGTTTAGCCTACAGACTGCCCACTACTAAAACTACTAGTCTATGGCAATACCACCCTGAATGTGCCCGATCTCGTCTAAAACCAGTAAGACTAAAGAAAATATGTGAATGAGGAATCAGATGGTCCCCCAGCACACAGTGACACCACACTGCATCCTAGCCTCTCCCCCAACTCCCCTCCAAGTCGTGCAGTACAACCAGTTTAACTTTCTTTCTTCCTCACTGTTGGTGCTAGTGAAGGAACACTAGAAAAAGGAAACCAACAACATACTTTGCCTTCAAATTAGCCAACTGGCACCAGGAAATGAAAGATGTCCAGAGATTCTTCTTTTCACCAATGCATGACTAATTGTGTAGATTCTAAGTGTCTGATCTAAGGTTCCTGAGGAACCAGGCTAGTATGTTCCTCTTCTTTAAAAAATACATAGTCCTCCCACCCCTTCTAGGAGGAAGGTCCATTAAATGAACATAATAACTATCATCTTCTACACAATTTGGTTTCACAATGAAAAATAAAACTCTAAATGCCATTACCAGTCCTCATGCTCTAACATGGCTTCAGTCGTCCTAGTAGATACCTATCGTGTGCCTCTATGGTAAGGGCCTTATGTTATATGTGACAGGTCAGTTAGTTTATAAGAACGAGGCAGCAGCAGTATATTTAAGTATGCTAAGAAACAGGACACTGTAGAGTATCCTTCAAGTCAGCATTCAAGACAGGTGTCTTCAGCCCTCACCCACACCAGATGTCTTGTTAGGTTCAACATTGACTCTGTTCTTTATAAAAAACAAAAAAAAGGCTATAATTACATTTCTATTTCTACAGTATTTCTCTTATAGGATAAAAATAATGCTGCTTCTTACTATTGTCACATAGGAATGATGAGAAGCACACCTTGAGAAACAGGAAAAAATAAATTAGTAACTTAAAACAGGATCCAAATGCAGGCCATAAGCCCCAGGTGCTGCAAGTCAACGATGTTCCTTCTCACTAACAGTCTTAAGAACAGAGCTGCAAGGTAGACAGTTTGCATCCTTTTGTGGATCAAAGATATCAGCCATCCGCTTCACCAAACTACTGAGGTGGAGTGACACTACAAAGTATAACATCAGTGGTAGACTGCCTGCTTAGCAAGTGTGAGGTCCTCAATTCAAACCCCAGTACCACCCAAAAAAAAGAAAAAAGAAAAGGTGTAACATTGTTTTCTCAGACACTCACCTTCTCACTGCTAGGTCTAACTGGTGAACTTCGGTCAGTTTGCTGAGCAGGGCTTGGCTTTGCAAGTAAAGTCTGGTAAAGTTCCTGAATTTCAGGAAGGGATACCTGGAGCAACTGGGCTTCCATCAACAGTTCATTCACTTCTGGAGTGATGCCTGTTACAAGACCAGACCCAATTAAAATGATGACAAGAGTATTTCACACAAGCACAGAGACTTCCCCTCATCAAACTTCTACCTTTTCCTTCTTAAGGTAAGTATTCAGTTCAAGTTAAGTTCACTTAATGTGCCGAAAGCTACACTACACAAATAGAACCCAAACTACATTTCCTAAGATTTCTGGTTACTAGGAAGTATTTATTCCACCAGAATTCTCTCCTTGCATCTAGCTAATACAGAAGATAGCGCCCTCTGCCAGGACAGCCTTTACTAGAAAAATCACAGAAAGCAGCAGCTAGCCCAGGGCAGGAATGCTTTGAGTGGATGAAGAACTTGGTCACGTCACTAGACACACACTGAGCATGTGACTAAGGATCAAGACTCCGTTGCAGCTTTAGGCAGAGCTCCTGGGGTAGTCATTTAGAGGTAAGAAAAATGAAGGAAGGTCTCAATGTGGATTATTTTCAAGATCCTGTAAACACAAGTCTCTTAAGTACTGAAACAAGGGAGCCCATGACTTAGCATCTGACCTAAATACACGGTGCTTAATTAATGAGTTGGCATAGGATGAACCTTTTTATCCCTGGGAGCAAATGAACAAGGCCTTCCTCTCTCTTTCCTTCAAATATGGTCCATCACTGCCCTAGATTATCTAGCAACTGCACACTAGCCTGCATCCTGCATTTAAGGATGAAGTTCTTTATGGAGCCTAATCATATATTACAAAGACCTAGTGCAAGACGACCCATTGCTGTTAGCTCCCACAAATAGTAGAAATAATCAAATACAAACCACGAAGGGGAATACAACTCCGTCCAGTAGAGAAGGGAGAATGTAAATACGAGGTTCTGTTGTCCCAGTCATCAGGCAAGGAAAAGGACGTTGTGCCAGGAGGTTGAGATACCTAAGAAGAAAAACATCTTCTAACAAGGTCTTTTCAAGACTGAAACTACTCCTAATGGCCCAATGAAAGTAGCTTCTCAGGCAGGCAACCAGAAGACAGACAGACCTGCTTTTCCCAAACTGAAATGAGTCCCCCTAGCATCTTAGAACTGGCCAAGCCGGGCGCTGGTGGCTCACACCTGTAATCCTGGCTACTCAGGAGGCAGACACCAAGAGGATCATGGTTTGAAGCCAGCCTGGGCAAATAGTTCATGAGACCCTATCTCGAAAATACCCATCACAAAAAGGGCTGGCGGAGTGGCTCAAGGTGATGGCCCTCAGTTGAAGCCCCAGTACCGCAAAAAAAAAAAAAAAAAAATGAAACAGGAAACTGTCCAAATCAACCCTCCAGAAGACCAAGCCTTTAATCTTCCCCGTTTTACTTGGACTGATTTCAGACCATTGGGAAATAAGCCATTTTCTCTGTGTGAAAACAAATCATACAACCTTTTAATCCTTATGTAGTTCTCCTTATTAAAGATTACATTACAATGAACACAGGCATGTACCCCTTTGAGTAAACCAAGTAAGGATCTGTCAGAAATCATTGCCTCTCTCTCTCTCATACACACACACACACACACACACACACACACACACACACACAAAATCACATACCCCTTCTTCAGTGTTTTATTAAAGGAAACAAGGGAAACCTTTTTCTGATCATGAAGTAGTAAATAACAGTTGCACCCTTTCCCTTTTTGGATAAAGGGAAACTCCTAGCACGTTCTGGGTAAAGAACACAGTGATTCCGCTGTAGGCTGTCCAAACAGCTACAACGCATCTATGCAGCAAAAATTTAATTGATCATCTGTTCTGTGCCAGGCACTGTATGTCAGAAGCCTGGAAAGAAACAAAAATCAAGAAAGCAATGACAGCATTTTCTGGTCCTTATTTCTCATCTGCTGAACATTTAATCCATGCGTCTGTATTCACATGGCACAGACTTGTGCTGGCATCTCTCTTTCTATGTCTGTGCAGCGCTGGGGTTTGAACCCAGGCCTCATGCATGTTAGGCAAGTCTCTACTACTGTCATGTCTCTAGCCCCAAAGGTTTTGTTTTGTTTTGTTTTTGTCTATGTTGCCCAAGACTGGTCTCAAGTGATCCTCCCACCACAGCCTCCTGAGGAGCTGGGACTATAAGTGTGCACTACCAGGTCCAGTTTGTGATTACTTGATAAAAAAAATATGTACCAGATTTGAAAAATCAAATTAGCCTTATAAAAAGACTGAATATTGCTATTTTAATTGTGCTTTCTTTACATTCTCTGAAGCCATCTATAAAGACAGAAAACTGCCCACCCATCCCAGTAATGGTTAGAAGAGCCTAGCTTTTGGCAGAAAAACCACAGATAGCATGAAACTCATCCTCTTTGCTCTGAAGCAACAACAACACTCAAATACTTCCAAATACTATTCTTCCTTAAAGGTTAGATAGAAAACAAGAGGTTGTCTTCCTTTCTACATAATGACTTACAGAAGAACAAGTGAGGGACGAAATGTTTAGTCAAGCAAAAGTTATACATATGTTAAGTATTACACATGGGCTAACAGACATAAAAAAGAAGAAATTATCTATAAATATGAAAAGGTGAGCATGTACTCTACAGAAGCGGAGTGGCTAAGAGACAGCTCCTGTTAGGTGCAGAAGAAACTACAAGGTCACGGCAGATGTGCATGGCCCCTGAGGTGGGAAGCAGTAGACAGGTGCAATGAGTGCTGATGATGGTAACCGGATTACCAAGGAAACAGCGACACCAGACAGAGCTATATGTCAGGAGAAAGGCACAGAGCTGAACGGATGCCAATAACCTGCAAAGTCCAGGCTCACCTTGTTTGTCTCTGACATCTGTCCTGCTGAGGCTTGCCATCTGCTATACAACAGTCCTGAGCCCACTCGGTCTTGAACAAATTTTAGATTCCCTGACGAAAGTAGTTGTTGGGCTCTGTGTTGCCAGTTCACGGTTCTTTCAATCATATACCGAAGTGCATCTCCCTCAGGAAGGCGAACTCGGATACGCTGCAGGGAGGCCAGAAGGGGCAGAATTTTCTCTAATGGAGGCTTCTCTGACCTCCGACAGTGGGGACAAAGCCAAATTCGGGGGCTTTGTGAAATACTGGGTACTGCCACACAACTAGTGTGGAAAGCATCCCTGCAAAGTTCGCATTGGATCATGGGAGTCGCTGGAGCCTTCTGACACAGGCAGACCTTCATTTCCATATCTTGGGCAGGTGACAGCAGTTTCCCTTCATTGGCAAGTCTGAGAGACTGCAAAGCTTCCATTTCCCTAAGGCGAGCTTCCCCAAGCGTTGCCATCTGAAAGGGAATAGCAAGGACAATGTCATGGAGAACTCAGCCTTCTCCCAAAACTCAACATCTTCAAACCCGGGCTCTGCCTCACATTAAGCTGTGCAAATGAACTGGGTAACACATTCAGCCACGGCTAACCCTGCATACGCTTATAAACGTGTATAAAATGGAGACGACAACAGTGCACACCTGACAATTAAATGAGAGTTGTGAGACAGAACACACTCTGCCTGGGACACAGCAAACACAGTGTTAGCAAGCACTTCCCATATGCCACTGCTCAGAAGTCCAACTTCCTCATACATTTATCTCCTAAAATTTTACTTCTCTGCAAAGATGCAGACACTTTACGCTGTGTGTAGATCACTTCTGAAGCTCTCCACTTATTTTCAGTTCTGTTAGCTTTTGTGTTCTTCTAGAAAGGTACTTGAAATAGCAAAGTGGCTCAGAGCAGGCACTACACAGCAGTAGTCTATGCCTCTCATTGCTCTTCACCACTAGGGTCTTTCTGGGTGTGCTGGACATTAATGTCAGGAAGACATTAAACAGAAACCACTTGACCAGATTCATTCTCCCTCCCACAACTATACTATAAGATCATCACAAAATCAGATACTCTGCAAGGTTGTCTTTCTGTGCAAAACTGCAATGTACTCATACATGAAGTATTTCCTCTTTATTAAAGAGAACCAAGTCCCAGGAAAGTGCTAAGTTCAGCTAACCTGTATAAACAAGTTGAAAACACTCATAAACAGAATCAACCCTGCAATCTCAAGCTGCAGTGATACTGAACGTATTTCTCTAAACACCATTTACATAGTCCATAAATGGGACTTTTACATGACCAGACCAAGCTGCTACTACTGCACTCAAGGCACCCCATAAATAGGCAAGCTTAGGCATTAGATTTATTCATTTATGCACCATGAAGTAACAGCAGAGTGGCAGATTCAAATCAACAGCCACGTCAGAGTTGGCCACTACCAACTCAAACTTAATGCCAGGCTACACTGGCCAGTCCACAACAAAACGCTAGCCCACTAAAGCCCTCCTCTGTCATATCACTGAAAGAGAACAGATACACGGGGAAACATGCATTTTATTTTAAATGGAGCTTTATCCTCCAGAAACAAAAGCTAGAGACCAAGAGACTTACTCTATTTTCCCAATTGTTTCCATGCCCTCAAAATGTGATTGTCAGTTAAAATAATTCCCAATGATCATATCCAGTCAATCACAAAAGCTCAGGAAGCTACAAAGGAACCGAGGGGATAAGGTCCCCTGCCCATCTTCAGATCTACCGTGATTCACCAGATGAGCGAACCTGAGTCATAGGCCAGAAGGAATTTCCCGTTATTTTTTTGGATTAGGGAAGAAAATCTATGAATAAGGGATTCAGGAAAAAACAAAGATCTACAAGTAAATTAGCAAAAAAAACCCTTTGGTATATTAAAATAAAATCTACGTATTTTATAGATGAATGTAATTTTCAGCAATATATATATGGGCTCCATGATAATAAGGTAACCTCCCCCTTCCAAAGCGTGAGATGGAATGCAAGTAACTGACCTTTCAGGGTTAGAACCCTGGATGGATGGATGGATGGGTAGGTGGGTAGGTTCTAACAAATCAAGACTAAGTATAGCAGGTGTGTTTGTGTGTGTGTGTGGTGCTGAGGTTTGAACTCAGGGCCTGGCGCTTGCTAGATCTCTACCACTTGAGCCAAGCTGCCAGCACCCTGTATAGGACATTTACATAGGAGCCCATGGACTAGATGGGTACAGACTAGAATCTACCTAAGATACGATATGCAAAGTTTCAAAAAGACATGTGCATTTCAAGAGAGGACTAACACTTTCAGTTAATCTTTATGAAAATTAACCAAAAATATAATAGCAAACCAAACAGCTATCTTAAAAACACAGAACTACTGCTCAGGTAGTAGAAATGTATAAATATACCCCAAAGAAATGACGTGTCAAAATACACATATAAATCAAGGCAAACCCATGTCAATCACAAGAGCTCAGGCAGCAACAGATTGGGGGAAGGTGCCCTGACCCAACGATGAACCCATTCAGTCTCATTCTACCAGCAAGTACATAACAACCTCTTGGTCAACTGTGAACTGTCTATACAATGGTGTCCCTTAAGATTGTATTGTCTACTGCAGCCATATTAGCTTATGTAAGTACACTCTATAATATTCACACAATAACAAAATTGCCCTAATACTGCAGTTCCCAGGATTTACCTCATCACTAAGCGACATGGGACTGTATTCCACTCTAGGCGGGCAATACTGTGCCACTAAAAGCATTCAAATCACATAGCAGTCTCCTTTTCTGTCCGGACACTGTGCTCACTAAGGGTTGGCTAGACTCTGCTTATCTTGTTGAAGATGATACCTTGAGTCAATAGTAATCACTACTAAATGCAGGCCAGATTCAAATAAGTACTCAGTACATTTTACATTTACTTTTTGTTTGTTTGTTTTGAGATATGGTCTCACAATATAAGCCAGGCTGGCCTGAGACTCATGATCCTCTAGCCTTGGACTCCTGAGTGATAAGATGGTAGCTGTGTGCCACCACGCCCAGCTCCAGTGTCTTTTAAGTATATTACTTATTACTGGAAGTTAGTAAATTAATATTGCAGTTTTACCTGTTACCCTTGATAACCTTAAGTCAGCATTTCTGGATTAACCCACAGACATTCTAAGTCTGCAAGACTCAAACTGGGAGGCCTACCTTGAATCTCTGCACCTCTAAGCATTATTTATTCTTTTTCTTTTTTGCACCGTTAGGGTTGAACCAAGGGCCTTGTGAATGACAGGCAAGCATTCTACCACTGAGCTATATCCCACCAGCTCTGGCATATTTCATTTAAATCTATTAAATATGACATCTTTAAAAACCAGTCTTTCTACTAAAACTCAGCTTTTCAAGTTATTCTACTTGCCTTTCCAATATTCCTACAAACCTGGAAGAGTTAGAAATTTCCTCCCCAACAAAAGAGAAAGGAGAAGAAAAAAATCCTACTACGCACAGCTGAAGCAGTCTCTTTGCTTTCAGTTAAAGCCCTCTCCAGGTCACTCAGGCTCTCTAATTTGGTGCTTTTCTTCTTTCCACTTGACAAGGGCTCCTTTAACTTTCTCTGTTTCCTTTTCAATCCCAAAAGGCCAATATCACATCGAGGACACAGCACCTAATGTAGAACAAAGTACAATGCTGGTAAAAAGGATTTCAGATAAAGCAGAACAAATAACTCAACCAATAGGAAGGATGTACATTTTCTTAGTATCCAGTACTTTCTTCGACGCATGCAGCCCTTAGGGCAGGAGACTCAGAGCAGGCAAGTAGGCAAGGCTCACTCACAAGAGATTGGTTTTGATTCCAGATTCAATTCAGTACGTAAAAATGTAGCTGGACGCTAGTGACTCACACCTGTAATCCTAGCTACTTGGGAGGCTAAGATCAGGAGGATCACAATTTAAGGCCAGATTGGGCAAACAGTTCAAGAGACCTCCATCTCCAAAATAATCAGACCAAAATGGACTGGAGGTGTAGCTCCAGTGGTAGAGTGCCTGCTTTGTGAGCATGAAGCCCTGAATTCAAACCCTAGACTCATTAAAAAAAAAAGTAAAAATATGATATATACCAACTGATTCCAGTGATAATGCAATAAGCATGCTTAGCATACAGAAAATATAAAAAGTGCAGCTAGGGTCAGGCATGGTGGTACACGCCTGTAATCCTGGCTACATGGGAGGCAGAAGTGAAAGGATTACAGTCTGAGGCTAGCCAGATCAAAAAGCATGAGACCCCTCCTGGAAAAATAAAGCAAAAAGGGCTGAAGGCGTGGCTCAAGTGGTAGACCACTTGCCTAGCAAGCATGAGGCCCTGAGTTCAAACTCCAGTTCCACCAAATAAAAAGGCATAGCTAAAGCACTTATGAAAGGTAAGTGAGATCATGTATCAGGGTAAATTCAGGTAGAGAAGCATGATCAAGTAATATAGAGAACTTCACCCAGTAGGAAAAAAAAGTTCTTCTTTAGATACTGAATGTATGCAGAAAAATTTAAAAGGTGCTAAAAACAACTCACAGAACAAGATCTATCAATGATGCTACCTTTGCTTGGGATGGGCTACATGGCTTTTCAAGCCGGGAGACCTAAGTTCTTGCAGATGAGCTGGCTGCACACTTACCTCCAAAAGAGAATATGGAGAATTCTCAGTCAAGAACGTGTTAGCAGCACATTCTTTCCAAACCTGAACTTCAGCTATTAGTAATTCCAGTCTTGGCAAAGAATTCAGATGTACTGGGATAGATCGGCCTCTTGCTACAAGTTCTATGAGTGTGTCTAACACTGGCACACGTCCTCCAGCCTAATAAATTAAGAAAAATTATAGCAACTTAGAAAGAATACTTACACATAAAACAGTAAAAGCATAGTTTGGACTGGTCCATGATCGATGGGACAATTCAGATCACTCCATGAACTCAACATGTTAAATTAACAGTGACAAAACTTGCCAGCTGACCAACAGTGGTGGGAGTAGGAGCACTATTTGTTCATTCACTTAACAGCCAGAGAAACCTACATTGTGCTAAGCTCCAATGGATTCAAATGTTAATATGACATACATTGTGGCTCCTCTGTTCTATTTATACCCTTTTAAATTCACTCATCACATTGGTCCCTATGGATAGTTTGAAAAAAATTTAAAAAAATAAAAGTTCATAGCCAGGTGCTGATGGTTCATGCCTATAATCCTAGCTACTCAGGAGGCAGAGATCACGAGGATCGCGGTTCAAAGCCAATCTGGGCAAATAGCTGACGAGACCCTATCTTGAAAAACCCTTCACAAAAATAAGGTTGGTGGAGTGGCTCAAGGTGAAGGACCTGAGTTCAAGCCCCAGTACTGAGGAAAAAAAAAAAAAAAAAGGCTGGTGGAGGAAAAAAAAAATCCCATTAAGGAGGCTTAGGGACATAGTAAATACTTTCTTTTTCTTTGGCTTTCTAAGGTCATCCTTATTTACATAATCTCCTACAATGTTTCTTTTTTTTTTCCCTATTAACTACAACAGATGATGACATTTCGTTGCAATAATTTGTCCAGAACTCTCCTATTTGGTATTTTTCGTTAGCCAGTGGCTAACACAAATATCCAGAAAACCACAGTGTTTCATTTCTAGAATCTGAAGGATCGAATGAAATAAAACTTGAGACTTTTCTTCTCTTGGTAGACCTACTGGTTTATAATAGAGAGATACATACTTTTTTTTTTTTTTTTTTCTGGAGGAAGCGGGGAAGAGTGGCTGTTGAGATAGGGTCTCACTATGTAGCCCAGTCTGGCCTTAAATTCACTATCCTCCTGCCTCAGTCTCCAGAGTGGGATTATAGACATGTACCTCTATGCCCAGCTCCCATCAACCACTATTCAAATTAAGTTATCCAGCTAAAAATTGGGTAAACATAAAAGGCATTCTTTTGGTACCTTAGTAATGCTACAAGTGACATTCAATGCTCTTTTTAAAACTTATATGCAAGTCACTAAATAAACCAATAACAAAGGGCCACCACAAACACTTCATGATAACTACTTGACTATGGGAAGTTTTCATTTTTTTGTAAGATCAGGAAGTTGGTTTTGAAAATTCTGGGCCTGTGGCCTACTTTAGCCATGTTACTGTACATGGTATATTGACTGATCCTACTGTACCTAAGCTTCTGCCCTCCAAGGCTGATAAGCCAACAATAAGCAATCAGACATATCAAAGAGTTTTAAAAACTGCACCTTTTCTCACAACTTCGTTTTTAGCTTTTTTCCCCCTTTTATCTGCAACCAAGGATTCAAGTTTGCTATGGAAGAGCCTCCCTCCCCAGCAACCCAACCATCTCTTGATGGTTGAATGATCTCTCCTGAGCCAGCTTGTTAGGTAACAGCTAACAAGTATATCCAAAAAGGCTGAATAGAATCAGTAAACTAGTCAACTCCAAAAAACACTGAATATGTATGGTGAGAAGAAGATTCAACACATTACCCTTTATAGCTTTTCAGTTACTGCTCTTCATCAATACCCATTCAGGACATTTGTTTTTACCTACCTGCAGCCCCTCTACATCTTGAAGCCAGTCTCTGGCTCTCTGCACTGAATCTTTCAAAGCTGCACCATTGGGCAGATACGCAGGGATTTCCTCAATCTCCTTTACTGCGGTAGCAAGGCTGCTCAATGAATGCCTTGGTCTGCAAAAATGAAGCACAAAGACCTCTCAGCATTTTAAATGATGGTTCATTTTCTTATGGTTACTAAAAAGACAAGAAAAATCATTGCAAAAAAAAATTCAGGATGGTAAGTAAGTCTTTGCAGCTGATACTAATTACTAGGTAGCTAACTCGTTTCAAACGGCTGTCTAAAATCTCAGAGTGATCAAGATAAAAAGCAAATGAGCAATGGAGCATTCAGGTTCTGCTTGTTCCTGATTTTACGATGGCGTTACCACAAACTTCCATCTGCATAAGGCGACTTAACTTACGGACGGGTAATTTCTTCTCTGGTAAATGAGATACACTGTGAAGACTCACAGTTTTACTAGGAAAATTAAAATTCTCTACAGTATTAACTCAAAGCACAGCACCAAAAAATCTGTCACCCTCTCTGCTCAGTGACTACTGTTTTGGGATTATAAAAGAGTGTCTAAGCCTGGCATCATTGGCTCACTCCTGTAATCCTAGCTACTCAGGACTCAGGAGGCAGAGACCATGAGGATCATGGTTCAAAGCCGGCCAGGCAAATAGTTGCCGAGATCCTATATCAAAATAAAACCATCACAAAAAAGGGTTGGTGGAGTGGCTCAAGGTGTAAGCCCTTAGTTCAAACCCAAGGAACCCCGTCCCCCTGCCAAAAAAAAGTCTACAACCTACACTTTTTAGTGCTTTAGGTTGTCAACTAGACTAACAAAGTCTGCCACAAGAAAGCAAGCTCAGGAAAGGCCTCATGCTTTCCTCCACCTCAGCTGGCTAGCCTATGTCCAGTTAATCTCTCAATCACAGGTTAAGTACCCTGATTTACTAAGCAATAGCACAAATATATAGTCCTGTGTCTACTGAAAATTAATCTGCATATCTTCATTTTACAGCACAATGCATATTAACTCTCAGCTGTTTCTCTGTAAGAATCCTTGGACCTCATTTACTAACTGTAGATTTAAACAGTTCCACCCATTTGTAAACTTTTTTCTTCTCTCAAAGACCATATTCTGGGATCCACAAAAATTTAATTTAATCTTAGCCTTGGAAAAGGCATGTCCATTTAAATCATCCATCTCATAATTAGTAAAATAAGAAAATATTAATATTCTTTACCCAAGTTCCAAAGCAGACCCAAATGCCTCAGTGCCTTCACATGTATTCTACGTGTACAATGATAGCAACTGAACATTTGCCAAAATGCCTATTGTTACCAAATGACTTGCCAAATGCCAATCCGACCTTCCCCAGGGGAGAGGTGTAAGTCTGCTTTCTTACCTGGCCTTGAGGAGACTCTTGGCTTTGTCATCCCAATGCTCTGACACTGTCAGCAGTTCTTGTAGCCGGGCCATGGCTTTCTCTACTGCGGAATATGGGGCCAGTCCCACCCCAAGGTCTATGAGACGTCTCATATCATCTAAAGTCAGGGAGCTGGGCTCTAGGCAAGCTTGCTGCACCTCTTCTAGCCATCGGGCCTGCTCCAGACGGACACGCATCTCAGCAAGCTGCGGAAGTTCAACATCAAACTCGAAGCTGACATCAAGCAAGTCCTGCAGCTCAGCAGCACTAGGCATTTCCTCAGAAAGTAGTTTCTGACTATGCTGCTGGAAATCTTCTACACGATTCAAGAGATCCTAAGAGAAAACAAATAAGCAAACACAGAAGTGCAAGTTGGCTAATCAAAACAGTAATTTCAGTCATTGGCTTCTTTCAGACTTAGAATCTTAAGCTCATCGTCAATGTTATTTTCAGCCATCCACTTGATTTTAGTAGCAATATGGGTAAGTAAGGTAATACATAAGAACTAGCTGTTAGTTACTTTCATAGTAAAATTTTCAACTTTCTCTCCCCTCTGTTGGCCTATTTTAATGTCTTTTTACACACACACATCACTCACCACTCAAAGTGTTGTTTAAAATATCTGAAAATAAATACACAAATTGTCCACCAAAGAGGACTACTTAATAATGTCAATTCAGTTTATTTATAAGGTACAGGATTACCACAGTGCTCCAACACAGGCTCCAATGGTTACCTTTAGCAATGGCGTTTGACTGAGAACACATGGAAGAGCATATAATTGTGTGACGAACTGTCTGAGTTCATTCACTGTCAGCTGGTTTGGGGATTTTCCTCCACCAGATCGGTATCTATAAAGACAAGGGCCCAAGGAAGCTCTATGAGAACATGTGTTCACCACTCACAGGTTCTAGTGTCACAAGAATCAAGCATCAAAACCCAGGCACAACAGGTTTCCCAGTTTAGTGCCACAGAGCCAAACTCAAACATGCAAAGTACCCACCTGGTTTGCCTCTTGCCATTAAGCAACTGCTGGGCAACAGAGGCACACTTCTCTGCATCCTGTGTGACCAAACGAAGGTGACGCAAAAGATCATTGTCTGGGAATTTCTTAATTTCTGATTCTTCAATTAAAGCCTTGAAGCTGACGAGACCTGATAATTTAGAAAACAGTCACCTTTTCTGTCCTCATTATAGTAATTTATTACTGTTATGAAATTGAGGGGAAAGAGTGCATTTGTCACTTCTTATCCATAAATGTAACTTAAAAATTATTATAGTGTTCTAAACCATTAATAAATTTGCTCATCTGATTTTTTTTTTTTTTTTGGAAGGGGTTCCTGGTCAAGGCAATTTTAAACAAGAGAGTTGGTAATGAATGTGGAAGCGTTAAGGTCTGATGGACTTAAGATACACAAAAACAGGTGTCAGTGGCTCACACTTGCAATTCTAGCTACTCAGGAGGATCACAGTTCAAAGCTAGCCCTGGCAAACAGTTCAAGAGACCCTATCTCAAAAAAACCCTTCACAAAAAAGGCTGGTAGAGTGACTCAAGGATAGGCCCTGAGTTCAAACCATAGTACCTGCCCCTCACCACCCAAAAAGAAAAAAAAAGCAACCAATCTGTAAAAGAAAAACAAATATAAATCTTATTATGTTCTGATCCACTGCTCTCCTACATTTCCTTCTGTAGTTGCCGGACTGTTGTACTCAGAGACAGTGATATTCCTCCCTTCCCCTAAATGAAAGGGGGAGTTACCTGTTCGGCTACAGAAAGCAAAGCAAGTGAAACTGTGAAAGAGATGGCAAATGGTAACTTTTCAAAGGTAATGACAAGTGCCAGGGACCACTTTGGTTAGAACTAAGAAGTGATAAACCAGCATTTCAGACTCCTAATTTAATGTCCCAATGCTGCCTTCTGCAAGATCCCCCCACCCCCTTTTACCAGGGCCTGAACTCAAGACCTGTACCTTGAGTTACTCCACCAGCCTTTTTTTGTAATGGTTTTCTCCAAATAGGGTCTCAAGAACTATTTGCCTGGGCTGGCTTCGAATAGTGATCCTCCTGAGTAGCTTGGATTATAGGCGTGAGCCACCAGTGCCTGGAAAGATCTATTTTTAAAAATAGAATACATAAATAAAATGTTATTCAGCTTCCTAACAGTGAAGATTTTGTTAAATAAGCCATCTTGCACAATTATAAAGACTTCACTTTGATGTAAGGGATCTGACTCATCCACCCTTGGTTTTAAAAACTCCACCAATGCTCTGGAGACCTGGACAGAGGAGCTAACCAAGGATGGAACCAGGCTGTAGTCATTAATCTCTTTTGCTGATGGCTTGAAGTGGGCTGCATCATAACCAGTCCCATGTGCACTCAGCAAGTCACACTTCGTGTACTACGTACTTTTCTTCTTGTTGATCTTTGCCTCAAAGCTTCATTCACATTCAAGGCCCATTCGTTATAAGACTCTGCTCGAAGCTTCAATGCATTCATCATGGGGTAGAGATCATCCAGAGTGTACCTGTACTGGAAAGAGAGCAGCCAGCCTTGAGACACATGGCTGGAGAAACTACATGTTTCACATTTGACATTTCAGCCCTGAGCTTTTATGAAACTTTAGTGCTTTCCAGCAGGGAAAATCATTCCTTGTACTTACCGCAGTTTATATAATTTATAAGGAGGACAGGAACACAATTCTCTCACATGATGCAGGCAAACAAGCAGAGCAGGTTTACAAGAGCAAGATGGCAGACATGAAGCATGTAGTTTTGCATTTTATACACTGCCGCTCGTCATCTGGCAATAGCTCAAAATCCATTCTTTCCGAATCAATTACTCCCTACAAAAAATGTACTTTAGAGACTTTCAAAGGATAATATAATCTAACAGCCTTGAAGACAAACATGAAATAACAGTTGAGTTTCACTGTTAAAAATGTATGGAATACAAAGTAACTAACAATGGCCCAGCAAACACCAACACGTTCACCTACTTCATTTGTATAGGGAAAATATCTTTTTGGCCATATGTTCAGCCATTTTGATCTGAATATGAAAACAGTTATTGATAGGACTATAACACTAAGATTAGCTGTCTTTCCTACTTTAAATTGGCCTTGTCCACATTTTAAGTACAGACAAAAGCAAAGAAAACATGTATGCTTTCTACTGCTGAGGAAATACTTATGAGTATCAGAGTGGTGTTGTGGGAGAAGCTAAAAAAAGCCATAAAAATAGACCTCAGGTGGCACATGCCTGGAACCCCAGCAACTGGGAGACTGAGGCAGGAAGATCCTGAGTTCAAGGCCAGTATGGGCTACATAGTGAGTCTGAAGCCAACCTAAGGTACACAGTGAGACCCTGTCTCAAAAACCAAAAAGCATAAAAAGGAAAGGAAGGAATATAGGGCAACTGGAAAGATGATCATGCAGGAATTGTGCATTAATGATCTCTCACCCTCACATGAAAAATCATCTAAAACTGTATCATTAGCTATCGAACAGGGCAGAAAACTGCGCAACAGAAGAGACTTGAGTCATTACAAAGCATTCCTAGATGAAAGACTGTCAGAAAAGTAAGGTCCTAAACCAGTACATTTCAA